GAGACTCATCCTCCACAGATTGATGAGCTAACGTTGGTTCTAGCACCTGTAAATAAAGAGCACTTACTTTTTGATCTCTCCATCCTTGAATTTATTTTTTATATTTTATATAGAAAGAGCTGAAAGAATAAATCCTGTGAGGCAGCACTTTATACAGCCTCTTCAGACAAGGCTTAGTACATAGAAGTTGTTGAGTCAGAAACAATGACGTCAGTTTACCATAATCCTGAGTTATCCACCGCAACAAATGTAAGTCTTTTTTTATTTAATTTTATATTTAATTTTTTTTAAAAGATGATGAAAATCAGTCGTGTGAATAGAGAATTTCAATCCCCAAAAACATTCAAGGACTTTCAAGCACAAGTGTAATTTTTGGCTGTTTTCACAAACTTTCCAGGGCCTTGAATTTTTTTCAAATTCACAAACTTTCAAGGATTTCAAGGACCCATGGGAACCCTGTCAAAGACTCAAAAGGCTCTGAACCGTGTCAACCTAACAACATAAATTTAGCACAAAACGTAAGTAAATTAGTGTTTGTAGATTATTTGTTGTAACAGTGCTTTCAGGATTTATTCATTTAACAAACAGGAGCCTCAGTAGAGTGTGGAATAACCATAAACAGCCAGAACAGCCTGGCACCTCCTCTTCATGCTGGTCACTCACTACTGATGGCATCGTATTCTTCAACCAGCATTTGTCATAAGTCAGCCAACGTGGCTAGTGTTGGTCACTCTAGCACAAACAGCACATCCAAGCTGATCCCACAGGTGTTCAATGGTGTTGAGGTCAGGACTGGAAGGCCAATCCATCTTCTCCACTCCCAAATTCTGGAGGTAGTCTCTGATAAACCTCGCTTTGTGGGGGTGAGAGTTGTCATCTTAGAGGATAGAGTTCGATCCCAGACTGTGGAGATGCCAATTAGGCAGCACCAGAAGCTCAAAAACAATTTAACTGGAAATTAACTTTAAGTCCATACTGTGGGCACTAGAGATGACTTCTTTGACTTGTGAACGTTTTTAATAAATGTTTGTATGGCATTTTATTGTGTAGCTATTTGTAAATGTATAACTTTTGCTACCTCTTGGCCAGGACTCCCTTGAAAAAGAGCTTTTTAATCTCAGTGGAACTTTCCTGGTTAATAAAGCAATAAATAAATAAATAAATAAATAAAAATTAATAGCGACAGCAAAATAAGATGTTTAGCAGAGAAGATTTGACTTTTTTTTCCTTGTGTGCAACCCACATACTCGGCTCTACTGCTCTTCCCACAAATGCATGTTCCTTACAAATGTGGCACCATTCTCYAAGTCGAACAGTCGGGTACTTTGTCACATGATCATGTTTTGGACGGAGGCTGACATGTTGATGACACGTTGATTTTGGAGAAAATAGGGGAAATTCCTCTGTGGGGAAAATAGTGAAAAGTTGTTGTAAAGGACAGCACTTCTCACATAAATGAACATCCTGAGAGAAAATATTTCATTTTTCCGACTGCAATAACGAGAAGAAAGAAATAAGAGACCAGATGGGAATGTTGTCGTTCTGCCCTCTGCAGACCTCTCAGTGCTGTTCCTCATTAAAAATAAATTGRGTCATTGTTTTGATACAAAACACACTAAAACTGACTAAACTGAAGACTGAACACTCTAAACTACCTCCTAACTATAAGATCCAAACATTTTAAATGTCACAGATCTAATTACTCAGTCCTGCTCTTGCTGTCTCTCCATCACTGCCAAACTCCATTCAATTTTTGCGTATTTTTATTTTCTTCTTCCTGTAGATTTTTTACTACTTGTCAGATTGCTTTGGGACTCTGTCAGAAAGGCGATTGTGGGGTTTATATGTTTTCTGTTTGAGAGAAAGAAGAGACTGATGGCTTGCAGTGTTTTTTTTTTCCTCATGAGATTACTGTTTTCRGCTGCCTGCAGCTGCAACACGCTAATAGGTTGATAATTTTCATTAAAATAAGTGGCATATACTATTTATCATAACTCCAGTTTTACTTAGCCTATCAACACCGTTTAAACGTCGATTTATAGTTTGAAGTCTCTGCTTTTGACACAATTTGTAACAAAGTCTCAGAGGCAGTGTCTTTCCAGTCACAGCGATTTAAAACCGTCATGTGAATCGTTCACGTGACATGCATACTGCTGTTGTGCATCAGGTTGTAAGGTCTTCTCATATCCATACAACACGCCTAAATATCTGAATAAATATATTTGAAACATACAACATATTTTACAATTCTAGCTAAAAACAGTTTATCTGAACAACAGTTTTTCCACACAAAAAATGGATGTTGAAATTGGGAAGACATCAACCTGACTTCAAGAATTTAAAAAGGGATTTAACAGGCTTTCTAATGCTATAAGATTTAACGCCAAGAAGAATTGTTACAACATAGAAACAATCTATCAAACACACATTTCCTTACGTTTTGTGCTAAGTTTAGTTCAGATGTCTGGGTATTGTGATTTTTATAGAAGCACCCGTTCTATCACATTTGACAGCCCACTGAATGAAGGGGGTTGCCTGTATTTGCATACAAATACGTAATTGACAACGATCCAAAATGTATGTAGAGGTATATATTACCCAACAATCAGCTCTGACCACTTTTCGGTTTAAACAAGACAAATGTTAGTGCAAAGTCTGAACAGGGCCTTTATAGCAGACTGGCAGCTTGGATGTCAAATAGTGGTTCTGTTCTGGTTCTTCTTAACCAGACACATAATTCAGAAACTGAAATAGACTCCTAAACAGAACGAAAACTCTGTGTACTCTCAGGTCAGCTACTTCCGCATTGTTGCATACCAGTATTGCTGCTTTTTATCATTTCTTGGGTAAACTTCTTCCTCGTGAGGTGGCCAACAAAGATTTCAGGGTCACGTGTGCTTAGTGGTGCGCGTGCACGGCGCATCTCGCGTACCCGAAACCACCYGGAGCGAGCCTCACCCGCGTTTACGCGCTCGGATCGAACGCCGTAGCTAAAAGCTAAACTGCGAACAGCAGCAGGCTATCAGGCCCAGATCGTTCACGGAATCAACCCGTCGGTCATTTTGTTCAGGCGGACCTCCGACCGGCAGGGATTAGAAAACGTGCCAGATCATATGTGTTTGAACGGGGACAGAAAATCGCAAGATGGTTCGGGAAACCAGACACCTCTGGGTGGGAAATTTACCCGAACACGTTCGCGAGGAGAAGATTGTGGAGCACTTCAAACGGTAGGTTACGCAAGAGAGAACCTATGTTTGCGAAGCCGCGCGCGCTGGCTGCAGTACGAGGGCGAGCCTGCTGTCACTGCTAACTCTGCTAACATTAGCATTTTTTAAGTTTCACCAACCGGGGGGGATTCACCGTGCTGTGCATGCGCTCATTTACAGCGAATCGTTACATGTCAAAGAAAAACCCACGAAACTGTAAAACCTTAACGCGAACGCAGATGATTTATTTCCCTCCGCTAACTTTTCCCACCGTCAGTGAGTATGTAGTTAGCTGGGTTTGCTAGCTACCGAGCTACCACCCAGCCAACCATTTTGTGGGAAGTCGACAGGTTTTTCGTGATCTGTACAAGCCAGCGTCAACACAGAGCAAAATCATCAGCTAACTTCAGTTGAATTGGTCATAAGAAACATTTTGACATTTAATGCATATGATCGACATTGTGTATAAATATATTGAAAACCGAAAAACAAAATCCAACTCTAAACTCTTTCGTGACCAAATTTATCATGTTGTTGAGGTACTTTAGTTGCTATTAACTGCAGCTAAGATACTGAAATATTATTAACAATTGTTCTTTTTAGTTGCAAACCAGTTGTTGTTTTTCTAATAAATCCAAGACCGGGGTAAAATGAATGTTTGACGCTGTTATTTATTTATTTTTTATACCTTTTTCTGTCTAATAGAGGGGCCATTTGAATCGTTAACAATCCATATAAAAGACCAAACATTGCAGTGTGTGTGTGTGTGTGTGTGTGTGTGTGTGTGTGTGTGTATCCACGTTCCATCAGATGTGCTTTATTTTAAGTATTTAATAGTGCTTTGAGTTTGGTATAAGCACAGTTTTGCATCTAAGAAGGGTAATTTGATGTCAGTACAGCACCAAGTTGGTGCACGGAACTTTGTGTGGAAACCTTCTAATATTTGAAAAGCACACACACACCACCAAGCACACTTTCTATAATAGTTGCTTACAATTCAGTCTTGCTATGGTGGTCAGCATTTTCAYTATCTCATTGTTTCTTATCTAGAGTTCACAGACGTCTGCACACAAAGGAGTATGTGCTCAGAGTGTTATCTGTGTTTATCCTCATTATTCTCATTGTGATTCTCTCCTAGGTATGGCCGTGTGGAGAGTGTTAAAGTTCTGCGAAAGCGAGGGTCAGAAGGGGGTGTTGCAGCCTTTGTGGATTTTGTGGACATCAAAAGTGCACAGAAGGCTCATAATGCTGTCAACAAGATGGGAGACAGAGACCTTCGGACTGACTACAATGAGCCTGGGTCAGTCCCTAATGCTGTGCGGGGCCTCGAAGACAGCTCCCCTTCGAGCAGTCGAGACGTTACAGGATTTTCTAGGGGAACAGTTGGTCCAGTGTTTGGCCCACCTGTATCCCTGCACACTCGGGAGGGACGTTATGAACGGAGAATAGATGGGTAAGTGGACACGGTGCCCTTCTCTAAAGTCCAGGGCATTCTAGGTACCACATAAGTGTAAAGCCTAAAACACATAATGGGGTTATCCACCAGGGATTGATACCTCAAAAGGGTTACACAGAGGTAATTTAGGGATTGCTCCACTCTTCATCTTACGTGACGCCTTTCCCATGGAATTTATGTAAATTAACAACACTATCATTTGCTAACTGCATTTCGAGGTTTATACATCTGATTTGGATATTACATTTGTAAGGAATATCCCGGTGAGTTGTGGATTTATCGTGTGGGAAACTACTTTTGAAGAGCTCTGGTGGATATATATTTTTTTTATTCAGCGTGGAATCTAACCTGAATTTTTGTTTGGAATCGCTTGAAGGTGGAAGTAAATCCATTTTAAAACGGATGTACTTTGTCTCAGAGGAATTTATGCACATCACTTAGTCACTTTTTGTTCCGGTATAGTGAGCGCTGATTGTTGGACATCTACGGATTCCTCTCATTCTGGATTTTAAGTTTTGACCAATTAGATGGAAGGTGATTAAATTGTTGCACATCCCAAGAAAGAATGATTTGGCGCATATGCTCCAACATGTTATTTTAGAACTAAGGTAACTGTTTATTATCGATTCTTTATCCCAAATATGGAATTTAAAGACGACTTTGCTAGAACATCTGCTATCCAGACGACTAACTTCCAAAGTTTGTGGAACTACTATTGTTTTGGAGTTGATGACCATGAAGACGTGAAGAATGCCTTAAAGGGTTGCAACCACCTGGATTTATGCATTACTACGCTTTACGCTGGATGTAGTGATGTGAATCCTACTGTGGATAAACGCAGCTTTCGTTTATTTGGATTACTGAGGTGTGGATGTATCTGCGTGAGTGAGGAGAAGAGGTTTCCAGCTGCATCAGACTAAACAAAGGAGTATTTTCTTCGAATACCCTGATGAAATACTGCAAAGTTAAGAAGATTTTGAGGAAACACCATGTTGGAGTTACACAATGTCAAGAGTCCATGGGGATTTAATGTGACATACCTGGGTCTTCCAGCCTGTGTGAAGTTATATCATCAGATGTTAACCAGTGGAATACTTTTTCTTAAACCTATTTTTCCAACATAAGGCTCAATTTTTGGGACGTATTACTTCCTCATACCACTGAGACAGATGTGTTTGGATGTATTTTTAATGCAGGCCTCTGTAATCTGACTTGGAATATACTGAAAACTTCAGTTCATCCTTTTGTTTTTTGTTCATGTACTTTTCTCCAAGCTGCTCTGGGATTTATCAGGAACTAATTTCTAAAGTTGTTTTTTAATTTTTTTTCTTTATTTTTTGTTATTTATTTTTATTTTTTGCATTTTTATTCATTTGAAGGAATGTAAGTAGCTAAACGTCAAACCATGGATTACACCTCGATACTGGCGTGATTCTCAGTATGTGAAGATGTCGTGAAAGAGGAGCACAGTTTTTTTTTAATTAAATCAGTTGATTTTTTTTAACGTTTTTTTTAATCCCTGGTTTCTTCAATTGGGCTCACACATTCTGACCACCTAGATTTTATTCGGATTAGTTTCTTTAACTTCTTTTCTAAAAGGTTGGTATTGCTCTGGCCTATGCATTTATTTATTTTTCTCAGCTTTTCTAGTGTTTGTGTAATAGTAGCTATATTGGTGCTAGAGATGACAAATATCAACTTTTAAATTTAACACCTGTGGTTAATTTTTGTCCTCAATAATTTATGAAAGTTGTTTTTCCAAGAACTACATAAGTTCTACAAAGTAATATTTTACATTATTCTGAACTGCATGCATCACATTTTAATTGATTGTATTTTGACATTCATCAAAGAAAAACAGAATTATGAGAAAAGTTTCATTATATTTGTCATGTCTGCACCAGTTCATGAGCAGGGAAGTTTGAAATTAATTAAATAAGCTGAGGAATGCTTAGTGCTTTTGTTTTTCTGTTAGTGTAAAAGGTTGTGATGACTGCAAAAGTCTTACAACAGCCTTTTCTCCTGTGACAGTTTGAGTTTATGCTGTAAAGGAAAAGAAAATTTGTGAACTAGTTTTGTTCCTCAAAAATGTACATTTTAAATGTATTTTGAACTTTTAGTAGATTTGTCTGTCTTTAATTTAGTTTTTAATTACAGTGGAATCCATGTAGAAATATGAAAACAGTGCCAGTAAATGAAGGATTGCTTGTCATTGTTTGATAGATTATTCTTTTTAATTGTGTAATTACGGCATACTGCTTGAGTTTTCGAATTGAACAGGAGGGACATCCAAGCAAAACTTGTATTTTCTCATTTTAATCTTAAACAGTTTAGCARATGCTTTGAAGGCCACTGTTAGTGTTATAATTTTAAAAACTGCTAAGAGATGATGGATTCTGCTGAAATAGATTTGACTTAAGAACTGCAGACAGTGCAACATGTAGTCGGATTAAGTCACAGAATTTGAAATTGCATCTGGCAGTTCTTGTTACATCTTTGCTGATTTTTTTTTTATATCTGAGTAATGAAGTTTTAAATGATCTAACCTTTTGTTTGTAAAATGTGTCTACCATGTTTTTAATTTACAGTAGTTCAGAAAGCCGTGAACGTGCGTATGACCACAGCCCTTATGGACACCATGACCGCAGTGGGACGTTTGACAGACAGCGTCACTACAATGCCGATTATTACCGCGACCGCTCTGTGTTCGCAACTGCTGGCCCAGGAAGCAGTGCCATTGGAGGAAGCTTTGAGGCATCAGATCCACATTTTGACTCTAGAATACGAGATCCGTTTACTCTTACTAACTCAACACGACGTGACCTGTACAGAGATGACAGAGGGCGACGTGCCGATCGAAACTATCATAACAGACGAAGCAGATCATCTCATTCCTCGCAGTCGAGGCAGCCGTCGCCTCAACGGACCACAGGGCAGACCTCCAAAACACCTCATTCCCCCAAAAGAACACCCTTATCTCCTGGGAGAGGCCCGAGATCGCGATCTCACAGCAGATCTTCGAGCTCTGACTCTATCAGCAGCACCAGCAGCACAGGCAGCGGCAGGTATGACGTGTTTTGTGTGTTTTCTAAARGAGCATTCGTAGAAAATGTATTGTGTTAACAAAAGACTGACCGATGCCTGATTTGTTTTGTGTGTGTGCTCTTGTTTTTATTTTTCCTCAACAGCGACTCAAACAGCAGCTCAAGTGATGGTTCTCGGGCGCGCTCCATTCAGTCCTCAGCTGCGAACGCTCCTCATCAGTCCTCCATGATCCTAGATTGTGAAGAGCCACGTCGAAGCTTTGGAATTAAAGTGCAAAACCTACCAGTGCGCTCCACAGGTTAGGTTTTATTTTTGACATCTTCTCAGAAAGTTCAGTTCACTTCTGATAATACATAAACCAGGGCTATTCAMCTGGCGGCCCGCGGGCCACATCCGGCCCACAAGTGACCAAAGTTTGGCCCGCCAATTGGTTCACTCATCTCCTAAGCCCAAACCCACAGTTTTCTACTTTAATTACTCTTAAGTTATTTTAGTTAGACATGTTTTGTGTCTACAGAAACATCACAATCTTGGCTACAAGCTAGTAAAAACCATTTCTATGAACATCCAAGACAGTTAAAACTACAAGCAGTTGAAGATAAAACTACCAAAGTGAAAATAAAATTGTTTTAAAAATTTGGCAAGTCAGAGATGTCAAAATATTTTGTGGTAAATAAGAGGCATAATGTTTCTTTTTTTGTTTTATCATCATTACATTTATTAAATAGGGTTCTGTATATTTGCATGATTAAATACAGCAAAATAAACTATTTCAAAGGTAACAGATCTTTGTAATACTTGGTTTATTTACATAACAACTTTAATTGCTGGATGTTCGGCCCCTGAGCTGTTGGTCTGCATTAACTGTGGCCCCTGGAGCAATTTAGTTGAATAGCCCTGACATAAACGGTTCAAAAAATTGATATTAAGGGTGACCGTGAAAACATTTTTGTTTGTGTACAAAAAAATATTGTACTCAAGTAAAGTAAACTATTGTTTTCAACTCTATTTTATTTCATGATTGTTTTAAAAAGTCTAGTGTAAACTAATACGTAGCTTCCTGTTGTTCATTTGTTGCCCTTAAGGCCCCAATAAAACTTTAATTAATATTTTATGATAAAAGAAACAATTTTATACAAAAAACAAATTGTCTTTGTAGTTTAGTTAAATCACTTGATTATATTTCTACACTTTTTAAAATGTTTTTCAGCGTTCACAAAAGTAAATTAAATTGTCTTGAATCATTCATTTTTATTTAGAAATTATGTTTTTGTTACGATTGCATAATTTATTTGAATGACACCTCTCTCTCTTTCTCTGCAGACACAAGTTTAAAAGATGGCCTCTTCCATGAATTCAAGAAGTATGGAAAAGTGACCTCGGTGCAGATCCACGGAGCGTCAGAGGACCGTTATGGTTTGGTGTTCTTCAGACAGCTAGAAGACCAGGAGAAAGCCCTCGGTGTTTCCAAAGGAAAGCTGTTTTTTGGCATGGTTATTGAGGTCACTGCCTTCAACGGACCTGGTAAATATCGACAGACCAGTTTTGCTCTTTTTGTTCTGGTAGCAGGTTTTTTCCCCTACTTGAATAAAATTTTAGAAGTTAGTAGGTGGCGGTGAAGTTGATTTTCCTGAATTTTACTTGCATGTCAGGAATATTAAGTTCAGTTTTTTCCCTCAGAAACAGAGTCTGAAAATGAGTACAGGCCTCTGGACGGACGGGTTGATGAGTTCCACCCAAAGGCTACGAGGACGCTTTTTATAGGAAACCTTGAGAAGAGCACAACTTATCAGCAACTCCTTGACATCTTTCAGCGGTTTGGAGAAATTGTTGTAAGTTTCAACAGAGCTCTGTTTTGTAGAGGTAAAATTACTCACTTTACAGTGAATATATTCTGTAATTGTTGTCTTTTCTCCTCAAGGACATTGACATCAAGAAAGTGAGTGGAATTGCCCTGTATGCCTTTGTTCAGTATGCAGATATTACCAGTGTTTGCAAGGCTATAAAGAAAATGGATGGAGAATATTTGGGAAACAACAGGCTAAAGGTAATGTTTGTTTATTTAATATAAACAGTAATTTCTAGGGCTGCAACTAATGATTGTTTTAATAATCGATTAATCTGTTGATTATTTTTTCGATTAATCGGCCAAATCATTAAAACACTTAATTACATGAATATGAGTAGATATAAATTAAGTTAACTCCTTAAGGATGCAAGTTATTGATAATGAATTAATCTGAAGTTGATTTATCATATAAATTGATTAACAATTAATTAATAAGCAGCCATTTTTATAAAAAAACGGAGTTTTCTCTTGAATCAAGAGGGTCTTCCCATAAAATGAAGGATTTTTTTATAAACTACTGAATTAAAAAAACAGAAGCACATAATGCATATTTTAACTATTTTGCCAGCTGTGTTAAATACTAACTGAAAAAAATGTGTATTTCTCCTACATGAAACACAACAGAAATTTAATAGGTTGCTGAATGAGGAAAATAGATTAAAATAATAAAATATGATTTTTAGATGTAAAACTATTATTAATTTATTATAATTAGAATTTATTTACATTTAACATTTATTTTTTCTCTTATTCTTTACTTTTTGTTTCATTCRTGTTGGTTCTGTTTGACTAAAACATTGTTTGACCCTAGGGCTGCCACAAACGATTATTTTTATAATCGATTAATCACAGATTATTTTTTTCGATTAGTCGACTAATCAGATCATACGTTAATTGAATATAAAACATAAAGCTTATTGTGCCAGAATGCAGCTACTATTATATAACCATGGTTAGATTTTAGCTATATGCTAACTAAAAATAATTGCTGTGGAAGGCAAGTTCTGCTCTGCAGATATTACACAGGTTTCTCTTCCATTTTCTTAAAATGATCCCACACTTTTCAGCTCCGTTGCTGGGTAGCCATGATACCAGAGCCTGTCTGTATAATGTCTTGTGACGTCCACGGCCTACCCCAGTTACCACTACTGTGCATGTGTGTCAAGGACAGAAAGGCAGGTGTGGCAGTGGAAGGTGTCAAAGCAGTTTGGAGAGAATAACAAAGTAAAGAACAACAACAAAAAAAAAAGATTAATCGATTATTAAATWAGTCATCGATTATTTTAATAATCGATTAGTCGTCGATTAATAGTTACAGCCCTAATAATTTCTTATTTGTTTATCATGTCAATCAAATGTACAGTGTTTTGTGTATAGAATATTCACGTTGCTCTTTTTATCCATGAAGCTTGGTTTTGGGAAGAGTATGCCCTCAGCATGTATTTGGCTTGATGGTTTAACCCCCAACATCACGGAACAATACATCACACGGCAATTCTTGCGCTTTGGACATGTAGTTAAGGTACACTATCCCATTTTCTCTTGTTTATAATATTCAAGTCTTTATTTTAATGTCTTTCTTTTAAAACTGCAATAGAACTTTTTAAAAAAWTTTTGTACTTGTTCCTAGGTTGTGTTTGATCGACTAAAAGGGACGGCCCTCGTCTTGTACAACAACACAGATTTTGCTCAGGCAGCCGTTAGGGAGACCAAAGGCTGGAAAGTCGGTGGTAATAAAATAAAGGTAAAACATAAATAAAAGTTAAGAAATTTTATAATTTGTGATTTTGTGCTAAATTATTATGTTTTAATATGTTTTCTTAAACAGGTGGATTTTGCAAGCCAAGAAAGTCAGGTGGCATTCTACCGCTCCATGCAGGACTCTGGTCAGGACATCAGAGACTTCTATGAAATTCCACCTGAACGACGGTAAATTGAGATAATTAAATGTATACTGTTGTTTCAATTTATTGCCCACCACTTAAAGGGGACATATCATGCAAAATCTACATTTCTAGACGCTAAATTAATTTTGTTGTGTACTTGGAGTCTCTAGGAGTGCAAAAAGGTTGAACTTYGTCTCTCCCGGTGCTTCGTAGATATCTTTATATTCTGTTTGGGTCATTTTTCCCCCCACAGTTTTTTCTATGATCTGTACTTGCCAACTACAATTTTGTTGTTGCCATTCTTCTCCGGCTCTGGGTCAGACTCTGGCTCCAACATGTAAGGTGCTGCTATATAGCCATAGATCCTATCAAGCTAGAATTGACCGCTCTGGAAGTTGGAGGGTGGTGTGGTGTGAAGCGCTGCATTTGGATTTAAAGAGACAGTCTCAAAACGAGTTGATCTGAGACACACTTCAGAAAAGGGGTGGGAAAAGAACATGTTAAAGTTACAAAAAGGAGGAATTCAGACCAAAGCATTGCAGTTCCATCTTTTTTTAGACTCTAACTGAAGGAGTTAAATGTGAAAAAGAGGATTTCAAAGCATGATGCATCTCCTTTAATGGTGATGGGGTGATGATGTTTTTGTGTGTGCGTGCATTTTTCTCCTGTTGGCAACATCCAGAGATTTTATTTAAACTCTCAGAGAGTAACATTTTTTTTAACAAGGAACAATTTTGATGATCGTCTACAACTGATTGGCAGTTCAAGATGGCCATCCACTAACCTTGGCTATTACTCAGTAAATGTTACAAATATTCAGCTTAAATTTGGTTGTGGTAGTAGCTGGATGCCCTCCCCAACAACTCAAAGCACCAACACATTTTTGAAAGATCTTCAAATGAGGTTTTGCATAATGTAAATTACAAATTTTGACCAGAATAACTATAAAGTGGTGGGTTGTATGCATTCCTGCAAGAATTGCTAGGTTATTAATTATCTTCTGTTTATAATCCATGTATTTTTCAGTTATTAATTCAATATTTGTGATGTGGTAAACTGAATTTATAGATATCCTGAATTTTTACTCAGATTTCTCTCTTATTTTCTTTTCAGAGAGGATCGCAGACCTCCCTATCATGAATTTACTGCAGAAAGAGCTTACTACGAGAACATACGAACCCCTGGACTTTACCCAGAGGAGGCACGAAGAGACTATGCTGCACGCAGCAGAGAGCGCTTTCCTGAACTGGAACATTATCAGGGGGATCACTTTGACCCACGTTATCACGAAGACCCAAGAGAATACAGGGACTACAGAGACCCCTTTGAACAAGACATCCGAAAATACACATATATACAGAGAGAACGAGAGAGAGAAAGGGAGCGTTTTGAAGCCGATCGTAGCAGGTGGAGCCCATCTCATCCCAGGCGTGCGATCACTCCCACAGTATCAACGTCCCCATCTGAGCGAGCTCCTCGAGACGCTGAACGGCGAGTTTACAGCCAGTCTTCTGAAAGAAGTGGTAGCGTGAGCTCATTGTCACCTCCACACTTTGACAAATCTGAAAAGACCCTGCAAGAACATACATCAAAAAGTGAGAAGAGTACTCAACCAGAATGTGTGGCTGGAACTGAAAAAACCAAACGTCCAAAACGAAAGGATAAAGCTGACAAAGATAAGGCTGACAAGGGCAAATCAAGGAAATCGAAGGGCCAGTCCCCATCTAATCCTCTACCAGAAGCAGAGCTTGAAGCTGGTTTTGATGGAGTGTCTGGAAAAGGAAGGGGATCAGACCAAGATGCTCCTGAAAGACAGAAATGTAAGGTTGAAAGTGACATTCTATCTGGAAACCAGCTGACAGATGCTCATCAAGACTCTGTTAAAAATGAAAGATCCGAAATGAGTAAATGTGATAATTCGGAGCTTGATGGAAAGGCTCGACCCAAAAAACATTCAAAGTCCGACATCGGAAGTGATGGGAAAGATTCGTCAGTAGATTTAGAACGCCTTGCTGCAAGAAAAAGGCGATTTGCTGATACTGGTGGAAAGCCCGTGCCGGTAAAGAAAAGCAGGAACGAGGAAGACGAAGATCTGTCTTCTGAACTTGGTGCCAGTTTCGCTTATTTGAAAGAACAAGATGTTGACAAACAGAAAGATTCACAACGGAGAGATGCACGACTCAAATCTGATAAAGGTGGCAATCAAAAAGATGGTCAAGAGGACATTAAAGTGCAACGGGAGAAAGCTGAAGGATCTTTAGAATCACTGGAGTCAAAACGACATCCAGGAAGTTCTTCATCAAGAAGGGCCTCACAGGAGGGGAATTCAGATCAAAGCAGTGTAAGAGAACAAGACCATGCTGCAATTAAACCTAATCAGAATGCTGAAACGAATAAAATCACCAAGAACAAGGAAGATCATGTTGATATTGACCTGTCTCAGAGTTACCGTAAGCAGATGGAACAGAATAGACGCTTAAACCTGCAGAAGCAGCAGCGCGAGTTTGACAAAAATGAAAAAACAGAAAGTACCCAGAGAAATGAAGCTGAAGACTTGGAACATCGCAGTCTTGTGCATGAAGTTGGTAAACCACCTGAGGATGTCACAGACACTTTTCCATCTCACAAACCCAAAAAATCAGATCAGTTTGACACAGAGTCTGGAATAAAGAGAGAGCGTGTCTACAGAAGACAAAGCAAAGATCCCGAGTGGACCAGTGTGCCTTCTCCAGGACACCAGCTCTTTTCTCAGCATGTAGATGAAGGGTATATAGATCCTTCTCAAAAAGAATTGGGTCGAAATGATGAGAAAGTTCACCCAGAGCTTGAGCTGTTTGTCAAAAGAACACACAGCACACAGGTGAATAAGCCGATCACTCCGGTAAATAGTGTTGAAGAAGAGCAGCATAAGAGATGGGAGAGCAGAGGTAAACAAGACTTTTTACCTAACATGAGCTTTTCAAGAGGTCTGAGTAAAAACATTCCCAATCGCAAGCATTTGGAGTATGGCATGTGGCATGACCTGGAGCCCGGGGAAGTACGATCAGACTCTGAAGAAGACCGAGAAGTCAAATCCCACTCTCCCATGCCCTCCACATCTATTCCTCTTTCTGAAAGGCCTAGACCTGATAGGTTTTCAGATCCCAAGCTTGCACACCTTGAAAGAAACAAATTCTACTCTATTGCTTTTGATCAGACCATCACTCCGGATACAAAGGCTCTGCTAGAACGAGCAAAATCTCTCTCTTCTTCTCGAGAAGACAACTGGTCGTTTTTAGATTACAATCCCCACTTTGCAAATTTTTGCAACACGAAAGATACAGAGAAAGTAGAATCAACACCAAGACCTACGCCCCCTTGGTACAAGAGAAAGATCAGAAGTGGATCCGAAGACAAACTTGATGACAGGAAAGAAGAGCCTAAACCGGAGGAGCACGAACGCAGGGAACTCTTTGCCTCACGCTTTCTCCACAGCGCTGTGTTTGAGCTGGACTCCAGACGACTTCAGCTCCTTGAACGCAAACATAAAGAACTTGAGCATATGCTAAATCAACAAGCTAGTCAGCAAGGGACAGATGGTGAACTTGAAACTGGGCCAGTTGTTCTTTTCCACAGTCGATATTTGGAGTTCACTCAACTACAACAACAGAAGAACAAAACTCAGCAGGTGCAGGAGGACAAAGGGGACACCACAAACACAGATAAAAAGAAAGAGAAGACACCTGATTCAGAACAACAAACTGTGCAGTCTCCCAGCACAGCAGAATCTGTAACAGAGACAGAAATTACACCCATTACTCCAGCTGAAGAAGTGATTCCTGAACAAAAACCTTTGCTTGTTACTGGCCCCACATATGTAAACAAGGATATGCCTCCAAACAAGGATATGCCTCCAAACAAGGATATMCCTCCAAACAAGGATATTCCTCCAAACAAGGATATTCCTCCAAACAAGGATATGCCTCCAAACAAGGATATGCCTCCAAACAAGGATATTCCTCCAAACAAGGATATGCCTCCAAACAAGGATATGCCTCCACCAGATGAGAAATCTGTGACACAAAATCCAGCCCCTGAAGTGTGTCCACCTGTTGCTTTAATAAAAGATGAAATAAAGGAGAAAATAAAACAAAGTGAAGTTGAACCCATAAACCGTTCACCAACGGAGATGTTCGTAAAATCAGAACCTGCATCTACAGCAGTCTCTGAGCCCAACTATTCATTTTTTAGACCTAAACTTTCTCCAACTCTAGAAAAACCTGACACTCCTGAGGATGTGAAACCTCCAGTTAAAGAAGAAACCTGTCACCCTGAACCTAATGAAGAGTTGGTCTTCAAGTCAGAACCAGAGCTTGATCCTGAGACAACTCAGCCAGAACCAGAGGTGCCTGTAGCTAGTAGTCCAGTACATCCTAGTTTTGTAGAAGAGATGGATGTAACAAAGAAAGAAACCTATCCTAGCTGTGAAATCGCTGTTGAGCCTGAAGAAGAAAAGAACGTTCAGGTTAATACAGACCATATACCTGTTACAAATGACACAAATGAAGAGACGATCCCCTCTCAGAAAGAGAATAAAGTAAAAGAAATTAAAAGTAAAAAGAGCAAACAGTCTCCTGCTCACGTTGCTCAAGTACCTGCAACGCCGGCCACAGTTTCTGAAAAACAGGCGACACGCAAGAGTGAGCGCATCGATAAAGAGAAGCTAAAACGAGGCTCCTCTCCAAGAGCTGAACCAAAGTTTTCAAGCAAGTCTCCTATTCATGGATCAGAACATGACGTTTTCGAGTCAAGCATACCGTTAGGAAGAGCGAGACGAGAGAGAAGGAACGTTAAATCTGTTTATGCCACCCCAGTTGAAGATGATGCATCAGCTCAGCCTCGAAAAGACATTATGGAGTCACCACGCTCTGGACGAAAGCGAGTTACGGAGAAAGATGTAGTGCAGCAAAGCACCGAACAAGAAACTCCTGCTCCAGCCCCTGCAGCAAAACGGGGCCGTCCTCCTAAGAACCGCAAACTAGTAGAAGAGAGTTCAACTGCTAAGGCAGAAAAAATTAAATTGGACAACAAAGACACAGATTCAAATGAATCAGAAAGTGGTGAACGGATTCAAAAAGGTCCTAAAGGAAAAACAATTCCTCAAGTCACAAAAAGTTCATTAAATCCATTGATCTCTGCTTCAGGATCTGTGTCGACAAGAAAAGCTGACAAAACTGAGATAGCTGATGAGACACAAGAAATCCCATTTACTGATCCACATTCTTTGGTAGATTCATCAAGTTTGAGCAAAGAGTCATCTGTGAAAAATGACAACTCAATGAAAGATGAAAAAATTGAACTGGGCAAAGATGTTCTACATGAAAAAGTTGGTGAGGAAACATCAAATGGGAAAGGCACAAATTGTCTGGTTGATGAGAAACCTACCTCAGATAAAGAAAGCATGTCGAGAGAGAGAATGAAGCCAAGCAGGACTCCAAAGTCTCCTGTGCTCAAGAACCTCAAAATCAGACTGAATGTCACGGAGGTCAAAGATCTTCTTCAACTGGGTGATGAAGAACTTGGGAACCAAGAAGAGACATCAAAAAAGATGAAACCTGGTGATCTGAATGATGCTGTTTCAAAGAACACAAATACCAACAAAGGATGTCCCGATGAAGAAAAAGATTCAAAGGAGCTTGAAACCACAAAGAGCTTGATCTCACAGGAGCGAGAACTGGAGCAGGCGGTAGAAAACATTGCCAAACTTACTGATCCAACTTTTTCAGCAGAACCACCCACTTCACCTGTTCTTCCCGCAGTCACAAAAAGTGACACAGAAGAAGAAAAACCTTCTAATCCCGCCAGTGAGACAGAACTGATGGCTGCCATTGACTCAATAACTGCTGAAGAAGCCAGCGTATCTCTTCCCCTAGCACCTCCGATACAAACCGATGTATGCCCAGAACCTGAGGTTCAGGACCTAATTCATCCTGTCAAGGTGAAAGGGCAAACAAATACTTGTGCTAAACAAGAGGAACCTGCCTTCCCCAACACACCAAAAAAGGGCAACAAGGGAAGACCAAGAACACCTAAACGCTCTAAAGCTGCAAAGCAAGTGAAAAAAGATCCAAAAGAAGAACAGCCGCTAAGTGAGGAACTGACAATMCCTTTACCTTCAGATGCAAAGGTTGTGTCTGAGACACCTCCAGCAGCAGCTGCTGCTGCTGTTATTACCTCCACTACTTGGAAGCCAGAACCTGAGTTTCCAGCTGCTTCAGAGTCAGTGCCATCTTTGGAAGAGCAGAAACAACCCCTGAAATCTTTGTACCCTCAGGCTAAGAGTCCAGTATTTCCAAAGCCTCAGCAGTTGCCTCCTGACAGCATTTCCCCTGCTCTGGCCTCAAACAAATCAAACATCAGACCCATTCAAACAAATAGAGCCGCTCTTTCTCCACCTGACTGGCGCCAGCAAGCTAAAGATACGGGTGTGTCTTCTCCACACGTCACGTCATTGGCGAACAAAGAAAGCCAACCAACATCCTCGGACTCAGAGAAAATGAGTATCGATCACGGCACAAGACAGATTGTGATGAAAACTAAACCTGGTTCCCTCCAGGGTAATCTTTCTGGTTCTAGTAATCTGCCCAACCTTCGAGATCCGAACCTATCTGAAAGCAGTACTCCACACACAGCTGTTGTTCCAAACAAGTCCCCACACCCCGACAGCAGAATCCCAACTCATTCAGCACCGCCAGTTCGACCTCCAGTGTCATTGACATCATCTGAGACAAAGTCTGTGATCTCTGTTATTGCATCGACTGGAACCTCTGTCATCAGTCGTGTTTGCAACCCTCCTGAACCTGAGGAAAAGGTCATCTTAAACATTGGAAACCCCTGTTTAGACATGGCTTTACCCAAAACAGCCTACAGACCAAGTAAAGATGAGACTGGATCATACCATGGGCCGTCTGACGAAGGGACAAGCGCTCCACGTTTTATTGTTGAGAGCCCTGCTCTTACCGGGTCTTGCTCTGGTCTTCGAGTAAATACGTCTGAAGGAGTGGTAGTATTGAGCCACTCAGGCCAGAAAACAGAGGGACCCCAGAGGATTAGTGCCAAGATTAGTCAAATCCCACAAGCAACAGCAGGTGACATGGAATCTCAGCAGTTAGTGTCCATGCCTCAGATTAAACAGGACATGTATGGTCATTCTCAATCAGGACATCAGAAGGGACCTTCATCACAGACAGATTACGGGCATTCTGCTAAGCCACAGTCAGCTCTGTCGATTAAACATGAAAGCAGTAGTTTGGAAAAGATGGAATCTGCTTACCAGCCTCAAGGAGTGGTGAAGCGCCTCACGCAGGGTAACCAGCAAGTAATAAGTTATCATCAAGACTACATGCCATTAAAGCATCCGAAGAAGAACGATGGTGTTGATTCACTTAGTACAGATGGAGCAAAATCAACTTGGACCTCCACTATAAGTCCTGCAATAAGCCCCCATTTACCCTCTCCACCTGGAAACCACGTAGGTTTTGTTACGTCAGCTGGTGACAGAACTGCTTCGCATCTAGGCACGATCAAACCTGAACCACGGTCTCCACGCAAGTCTGGACATCCACACTCTCCATTCACTAAGGTGTCCTCGCCCATAGGTTCCTCCTCACCCAAAGGCATCCCTGTGATGTTATCCTCCGGCCACCCTGCCATGCAACAGTATATTACTAGCGTGCATCACCCAGAGCAGTCGGTTATTATGCCACCACACAGCGTGCCTGGAGGTTTAGGACGGATGTCTCCTCACTGTGTTTCCCAGTCGATTCCAGTCGGTCATCTAGTTCAAGGAGATGTTCGAGTCAACACTCCACCTTTATCTGTGATGAACTACGGGATGCACAGTGACACGCTCGCCTGGTCTGGTCCTCTGCAGCCTCGGTCTTCCCCACCCCAGCCTGCCGGCAGAGACAAGGTTCTCAAAGTTAACCCTGGTTCTTTAAGGAGTCATGAGGGTGAACAGGAGGATTCCAGGCACTTGCACCAAACTGGAAGACCACCTGCCTCGATGTCATCTGATCCTCGTGGGCCTCTGAGGAGTAGTGTTCCAATGGAAACCTACATGGTTCAGCGAGACATGCGTGTGCTCGTGCACCATCAGGGGGAGCGGCTGAACCCAGACCCTCACCCCGGACACATTCAAGAAACTCTAAACCCGTCTCTGTCTCCCAGAGCACACATTTTGCCTAAAGGTGTCTCAGAGAAAGATATAGCAAAGTCACTAGAAGCAAAGAGGCCACACTCTCCTCTTCCGAAGGATGGGATGATGGGGGTCCGGCAAGCTGGTCCAGCTATGGCGTCTCCTCAGAGAGTTCAGCTAATGCCACCAGGACCAGGTGGGTCGTACTCAGAATACTCGGCGATGTACTCAAACCGGATCCATTCTAAAATACCAGAGACACCTGTTGGACATATCCAGCCACCACTGACTGTCACACAATCTATGGTGAGTAACCTGCAGTTACAAGTTTATCATAAATACAACCTGCTTTTCTTAAAATCACKTTTTTATAAAGCTTATTATTTTAAAAACATTGGCTATTCTATTTGTAGAAAGTAACACTCACATAAACACTAGATTGCATTTTCTTCTGTCAAAACCTTGAGCCAGTAGTTATACTGTACTGGCTGTTGTGTGTAAACAAATGTGTACATGCTGGTGAAACTCCAAACATTTTCTTGACTCTGTAGGGTGCAGACCTTCAGACAAAACCAGATGGCAAGATGACGCAGCCTGTTAATATGGTGCAGTTGCTTACGGTGAGACAGAACCCATCATAACAGTTTAACTGTGTTCAGACTTGTTGCTCTGAACAAGCGCTGTCTTTGTCTGACACAGCTGTRTCTTTTTCTCTTTTGGTTTGATACAGAAATACCCTATTGTGTGGCAAGGCCTTCTGGCACTGAAGAATGACACAGCTGCAGTCCAGTTGCATTTCGTCTGTGGGAACAAAGCTCTGGCTCATAGGTCGCTGCCTCTGCAGGAAGGAGGTGCTCTACTTCGGATCGTCCAGAGAATGAGACTAGAGGCTTCACAGCTGGAGAGTGTAGCCAGAAGAATGACAGTATGTCTTGGTCCTATAAAGTAGTTTTCTGTTCAATTAGATTCAGTGGGAGTGTAGATAATCCATTTGTTTATTTTATTTTTTTCTTCAGGGGGACAGTGATTATTGTCTCCTCCTCGCGTTGCCTTGTGGACGAGATCAAGACGATGTTATAAACCAAACTCAAGCGCTGAAGGCTGCATTTATCAGCTACTTGCAGAAGAAGTTGGCAGCTGGTATCATCAATATCCCCAACCCAGGTTCCAATCAGGTGAGACATGACTCCTTTGTAAAGAAAATGTATTTAAAAATGTGTTTTGTTTTTTTTTTGGTTGGTGTTTTAGCTAAGCTGAATTTTGTAACACTTGTGTGACAAAAGGCTTCATTAACTTTGTGTAATTCATAGGTGTAGATAATACACACAAATAACTAAAAACATAGAGCTAGTAAAAGTAACAGTGCACATGGAGATGATAGCGATAAAATATCTTGTTAAACTTGTACAATAAAGTGATCAAACACGAACACTTTTTAATAAACACAGTGCTAGAAAACAGGTTTTGTATTTTCACATTCATTTATTAAATATGGTGGACAAGCCAAAGAAGTCATTGCTTCATACTTAATTTTTTTCTGTGATTTCATTATTAACCTTTTATTAAAATTTAAAAGCGTTAAAAGTTCTAATATTTGTATTAGTTTGGTTTTAACATTAACCCTCTGAACAGAACTGTGAATTTAAAAAGCATGAATTGATGAGGAAACAGTGAAACTTAGCTCTTTTTTTTACTTCTGGTTTCCTGCAGCTGATGTTGAAATTTTTTTCTTCCAGCCCGCCTATGTGCTTCAGATTTTCCCACCCTGCGAGTTTTCAGAGAGTCACCTGTCGCAGCTCGCCCCCGACCTTCTAAACAGGATCTCCAGCATCTCACCACACCTGATGATTGTCATCACCTCTGTGTAAATGCCACCGCCGGGACCCTTCAGTGGATCCTCTCACCCACCAGCCTCAGGAAAACAGAGGAATATATTTTTTTTCCTGGATATAATTGGGAATGTATAGGATCTATCCTATGAACTTTTTTTTTTTTTTTGCAACAGCCTTTTTTTTTTTTTTGCTCGTCACTCCTGTCTGGTATATTTGTCCTTCTCCAAAGAACTCAGGGATGGAACAAACCAGAATGAGTCTTACTTGACCATTTCTCTGCTGTATTTCTATTTATTGAAGTTTTATTCTGGTATTCGGAGATTCTCTGAAGAAAAAAAAACAAGATTCTAAAACAAGAATTGGTGACATTTCTGGGTGGCCTGTTTTTTCATTTTTTTTAAATTGTCATTTTCATTTCTTCACAGGAGAATCATAGAAGCCATTGCACTTCAGTGGCTGAGAAGACATTTGCATTTCAGCCTGTATTTTTAAATAATTATGTACAGACTTTCTCACTCGGGTTTTCATCAAAGGAGGGAGAATCAACTTGTAAATCTATGGACACCCTGTTGAGGACCACGTTCATTTAACAGCTCCTTCAACTCCACCAGCTCTGCTCGGTTTGGGACACTGCTGAAGCGAGCCGGTAACGAGCCTCAGTACGACGGTGAGGGGAGTTTGAGTACTTTGTAAATATTTTAAATATTTAAACCTCAATGGAACTTGGACTGTTTGACAGCGACTTTAACTCTGGGACTCACCAGAACGCAGAGTGTCAGGAGAGAACTTTAGATGGAACATTAATTTTTTTTTTGTGGGGGGGGGGGTGTAAATAATTGTAACACAAGAAGGTTGGCAGACTTGATGTGGCGTCTGCTGATAGCACTTCATATTTTGTAACAAATAAAACTAAAGAAAACCTGAAGATTTAATACAATCCTTTATTTTTTTCTACCTTTTTAAAATATCATTTACAGTAACTTAAAGACTGAAGGAATATGGAGGTTATGTTTTGACAGAATTAAAAAAGGGACACTTTTTTATTTTTAGGATCCTAGTGGCCTATTACTATTTACACAAAAAACATTTAACCCAGATTCTCATTTTAAGTAGTTCAGAAAATGCCTTAATGACYACTCATTTTGTTTTATTTGGGTCTAAATTACTGAATGTTGAGTGTAAGATAAATATAGGCAAAAAGTTATAAAGCAAATTTATGAGTCTTTTCTACTGAAAAACCACAGGAAGTCTTAAAATAGATGGTTTTTAGCCCCTTTAAAATTTAAAGCACAACATAAAACATAAATCAGTAAAATAAAGTAAAACCTTGCCTCATGTCTTCAGTGTTCTACTTTAACTGGTTAATGAGCTCAGACGAACTGCTGAACAAATGTGAATTTTATTTTGGAACAAATCTCTGTTTGCAAGAATCTCTGGGGATTATTCGGGTTGTATGCTACACAGAACTGTAATGTCTTGTAAATCAGCATGGCAGGGCTAAAGGTGGGACATGCACTGATTTAAAGTGTTCCTTTAGTGTTGGACTCTAGTGTTTCAAATCATCACTGGAGCCAAACAGCACCACCAGCTGGTCCTGGTACTGGGAGATGTTCCTCTTCATGATGTCCATGCAGGGTCCCAGCAGGCGCTCAAAAGCCTGGATGTCGATTACTAAAACCAAAAAAAAAAAAAGTTTAAATTCTGTTTAACCACAGACTCCATTAATTCAAGAGAAAAATGCCTAAAAACAGTTTTTAACTGTAGATCTGAATGGATCAGTTACGTCTCAAGCTGGAGGAGATAACTCCCTCAGCTCATCCTGGAGGTGTGTAAGTGTTCATTCTCAACACATATTGTTGCTCAGTTTGTGCAACAAAGATACAAGCCAACCCTCAACGTCCGGGTGAGTAGATCTGTGCTCCACTCTGACCTTGATGAAACATTGATTTGTAGCAACATGATGTGGGTTTTCACTCCCGCTCACTGTTGGATAAACATCAGTTTGCATTTTTAAATATGAGGAAAGAGAATTAGCTATAAGTCAAGTGATGAAGCAAACTACTTTTATTTCTGGGAAAACCAACGAAATGCCTTAAATGGTTCCCTGAAATGCTTTTCAAAACAAGTTACGTCATTCTAAAATGAGGAAAATTAAAAGCTATTTGCAGCCTTAAGTGTTTCAGAGCGATCCAATATGTCTAAAGAAATAAAGTTTACCACTTTCTGAAAGAGTGTCAGCAAATCACTTCTTCCTCTACATTGTAAATTTATATAAAACATTTTTAGACCTTATGTAAGAGGAAAATTAAAAGGTTTCAGATGAACCTGAGTTCACAGGGTGTAAAAGCTGGAAACAAATATTGACTGACTGTCAGCACCAGGCAGCTCTATTAACAGCCATAATGCTGAAACCAACTCACCCTATTTATCACATTTAATGATTGTTGGCAAAATATCACAAATTACAGGAGAAAGTTTGATGAAACCTCAATCTTTGGAGTCAACAGGTTTAAAGATGGCCTCCACTTAAAAAAAAAAAACACAAACATTGATATGCAATAGCACATTTTATGTTGCTGCCAACACTTAAGTTTGTACCAGAAGCTTGCCATGTAATCTCGTTTTCTCAGACAGATTTTTTTTATTATTTATAAGCCATAATTGTCAAAATTACAAAAAAGAAAAGCTTGAAATGTTTCACTCTGTTTAACAAATCTATAATATTCATTTCCCTTTCTGAACTGACAAAAAAAAAGGTAACTTATTCGTGATATTCTAATTTTTTTAGATGCACCTTTACAATGGAGGCTCTGAGTAGAGTCTGTTTTTCAGGGTTCCTACAGCCTAAGGCAAGTTAAATTTAAGACCTTTTCAGACCTCTTTAATGCCACTTGAAATAAAATTTAAGACCAACTTCATAAAACACAAATATCTAAATATGTTCTGACCTGTAATTTAATTGTGCTCTGTACAAAGACAAAYGTCTAATCTAATCTATTTTACCCAAGTGTTTATTGTAACACAAAACTAGCTGCGAGAGACATTCAGTAAATTATTAAAAATAAATAAATCTTACTAATTTTTTTTATTTGAGYCGAATTACAATCCTACTTATGTGTTAACATTTTTAAGACCTCTGAAAGACTGATTTGAGACATTTTAAGGCTAATTAAGGCCTTTTTATTGGATTGATGAATTCATCGCTTTCAAGACTAAGGATCCTTGGGAACCCTGTTTAAATTATATTTTTTTAAATAATAAAAATCAAATCAAATAATTCACAGTTTGTTTTAGTTTTGGACCATCTTTGAATAGTTTTGTTCATTTTAGATTTTAGTGCATTGTTTCTTCTCAGTATGATTCATCCTTCAGTGGTAGCGGAGCAGTAAGTGTGTCAGAAACACTCCCAACATACCCAAACATTTGGTGTTCCCCACAGCGTAGACTGACGCCGCTCGAGGTTTGTTTGTGACCAGGGCCAGCTCTCCGAAGTACTGACCTCTGCTGCACCGAGCCACCTCCACCTCAGTGTTCTCCTGCTGACCTGCCTTTGTCTGCAACACACACACACACACCACTATCACTACTGTTTGCTCGTTAAATCAGACAAGCTGAAGGTTTGACTGTATTTACTTTGGTTCTGATCATTATCTTCACCTCCCCTGATTCCACAATGTAGAAGCAYTCAGCCTTCTCCCCCTGCAGCAGCAGAAACATTTTATTATTTCATTTAAATGTTAAATTAAGCAAAGCAGCAACTCTGTACCTGGGTTATTATCCGCTCTCCATCACTATAAGTTCGAGCTCCCAAAACGTCCACGATCTTCATCCTCTCAGAGAGCTGAAGTGAAGCAGGGATGACGCATGAAATCACACATCTTTGTGTTCAGTGTTTTGTCAAAAAAAAAAAAAAAAATCACAAACCTCCAAGCACTTCAGCAGTGGGACACACTCTATAAAGGCCTCGTACATCCTCCTCTTCTTCGCGTTGTTTTTCACGATCAGTCTGTGGAACGTGGCTCGATCCTGACAAAGCAAACAGAGGATGTTTCAGGTTTTGTTGGGAGTTCAGAAGGCCGCAGGCTTCCCTGCCAGACTCACCAAACCCCACAGGGCGCCCTCTTCTGTCGCCACGATGGTGGCAGCTCGAGGCGTGTTGTACATGAGGGCCAGCTCGCCGAAACTCCCCTTGTTGTTGTACTTCCCCACACACACGCGCTTGCCGTCCTTCTCCACGAAAATATCGTACACCCCTCTGAAAGACCACGGCGGTCAGTTTCATGTCTCGCTTACATCGTTTAAATGTCTTAAATAAAACCAAATAATAAAGTTTACTCACCGGTCTATGACGTAGAAATTATCCCCGTCGTCTCCTTGATCTATGATGTGATCCTGAGGTTTGACCTGCACCTCGAACATGGCATCCAGAACCTCAGAGAATTGCTCCTGGAGGAAATAAGTCAAGCAATCGCACCCCCCCACCCAAAAAAAAACATACACATGAATTAAAGAAGGAACAAATCAGATGTTATGATTAGTAAACCATTAACTCATTAATGAACACAAGACGTTTTGATTTAGATGCAGCAAATCAGACCCCAAACCATAATCCTACCACCATCGTGCTTCAGATATGAGACGAGGCCCTTCTTTAGATTTCTTCTTCTTCTGTCACACTGTCAGTCTCTACAGGTCACCTCATAGTGACTATCCTCCTGTTAAAGAGTCATTTAATCAGTTGTACCTTCTCCAGGGTTTTGAACAGCAGGATGTCTTTGCACGCCTCTTGAAGCCGTTGACGTTGCTCYTCTGTTTTGGGATGAACAACTTGAGGCTCTGTGCTGTCGTCTGCATCATCGTCAGGGTTATACGCCTCCGCGCACACTAACGCAGGACAGACAAAATACTGTAGTATTCCACATTCACGAACCAGACTGGTAGCAATACATAAAACAGACTGGTCTGCATTAGGGAACATAAATGATACTTATACAGTAAGATACATGGGATGGATGGATGGATGGATGGGATTTATTTATTTACAGTATTTATTTGATCAGGCATGGGCAATCCTGGTCCTCGAGGGCCGCAGCCCTACATGTTTTACTTGTTTCTCTGCTCCAACACACCTGATATGAATGAATAGATGTTTATCAGGCTTCTGCAGTACAGAGGACCAAAACTGACATAATTAGAAATAAAAGCAGAATTATATGAACCACTAAATACATACACTTAAAATGCACCAATTAAATTTAAAAAGGAGAACTTTATCTCCTGTTTTATATTTGAATATACTTTTTATATTTATTTTTCCAGGTTAGTTTCAATAAATTAGTCTATATATTTGAACACATAATTGAAATCTTACTGTTTTTAAAATATATATTAATTGTTATTCCTTTTACTTGTACATGCATTTGTGTGACTTAAATGTTTATACTTAATTATTTTAATATTTTTTTCCAACAAGTCTTTGTTGCATGCTTATCTCATACGCTAGGGCGCCGCCCCACCACTAATTTTTTGTACACAAAAAAATTTAAAAATAAATAAAATAAAACGTTATAAATGTTTCGGAAAAAATATTGTATTTATGTTTTATGATAAGTAAAATAAATAATTGAGTTATTGATGTGTAAACTTCCATTTTACTCATGAGTTTTTTTTCGTGTTGGGTCACTTCTGGGTCACGAGCGGTTCGGCGCTCCAGAGTCCCACAGACAAGTCATTGTAAGATTTTGGACATGCGCAGTAAGTCCTAAATGCAAAAGTATAGGGTGGCCTGTGGCGCAGCTGACCTCCGAACACACACCGGTAGTGGGTGGGTCCACGCGGTGTCGATGACTCGACGTCATAAGGCTGCGGCCGGCAGGGCAATACGAGGCAGATTTTGGAGAAAAACAAATGAGAAATGAAGGAGAAAACAACACTGTAAGTCTCTTATCTAAACCTTTTCTAAGCAGAATATATGAGGAGAAACTTAAAGTGAAGTATTTTGGACTGAATAAGCTGGAAATAATAAAAATTGAGCAAGAACATGGTGTAGTTAGATTGTGTTGGTATTCCCTTTATTTTGAGCAGCATATAATATAAATAATGGTGAACACAACTTAATATAAAGATATTTTTTATGTTTCTATTTAGTTAGGTTTTTTTGTAAATTACTATTGTTTGAATTTATTTTTGAAAAGGGGCAGATATTAGAAGATATTTTCTTCTTTCTGCTGCCTTTCATTTTATTTTTTCTTCTGTTGTGCATAGTTTATTTTGTTTTTTAATAAAATGAGTACATTTTTAAAATAAAAATATAATTAATAGTTTACCTTAGAGGTGCAACAATTTGTTGCTATTAAAATAACATTAATTGTTCTCTATGTATTAATTATAAATTAGAAAGCTCACTTGTAGCCATCTCCACATTGAATTAAATTTGTGCATTGTTTTAGGTTTGTGACATCATCTTGAGACATTCATAAAARATCTGATCAGAGCTACACTGCTGCAGGCTGACAGGTTCCTGCAGGACAGTTCTCTGAAGCAGCACTGAAGATCACGGAGGCTCACCCAGTCTTGAACAGGACCAAGAAATCTGATCTAGTTCAGGAGCTGCAGTGGTGATGTGTCTCTGTCCCAGCTGCTCTTCATGGAGAACAATCTGCAGGACACCTTCAGAGACTGTGACTCTGCTGAAGATTCTCATCACATCTCCTCTGACCACAACTGAATCTGAGAGGAGCTTCAACACTGAAGACAATCCAGACTTTCCTCAGGTACAACATCACATCTCACTGCACTGACCATGCTCTATAAGAATCTGGTTAAAACATCTCTGACTTTAACCAGAGTCATGAAGAAATTTGCTTCTCAGTAACAGGAGCAAAATTTATGTACAGAAAATAAAACACTTCACGACATCGTAATGCTATTTTATTATTTTATTTTATTTGTTTAATAAATACAATGGCGTGATTCAACTAAGTACATGTTTGATTGCTTTTGGAGATGAGCCTATTTTGGATTTGTAGCCCCCCTGGAGAAAAATCCACCAGCCGCCACTGATGCTTGTGCTGCCTCAGTTTAGCGAAAGMTTTAAAGTTTAGTTTAAAACAAAGGCAAGGAGGAAAACATTACCTGTGCATTTCTTTTTAACTAAACTTTAAGCTAAACTGCAGCAGCACAAGCATGCAACACATGGAAATAAAAAGACTCGTTGGACAAAATTATAAAAAATACTTACATTTAAGTTTTCAAGAGACACAAATGCACGTACAAGTAAAAGGAAAAACTATGTAAAATATATATTAAAAACATTAAAATTTAAATTGTGTTAAAATATATAATTTATTGGAATTAAACTGGAAAATAAATATGATGGTCAATTAAATTATAAAACATGAAGTTAAGTTCTCCTTTTTAATTTATTTGGTGCATTTTAAATGTATTTATTTATTTATTTATTTAAAGGTTTATTTATCTATTTCTGCTTTTATTTCTAATTATGTCAGTTTCGGTCCTCCATACTGCAGAACTTGGAAGAGGTAGTTCAGTGACTGAATCAGGTGAGTTAGAGCAGGGAAAATGAAAAACATGTAGGGCTGTGGCCCTCAAGGACCATGTTTGCACCCCTGTATTAGATATACTGCCTTTTTATACAAAGTGTGTCAATCTCGTGTTTAAACCCTGTAAGCACCAGTTATGGATCAGGTACGTACCCTGTGAAGATCCTGTAAGTACCAAATACATTACCTTTTGTAACCCTGCCAGTACCAAGTACAAGGCCAGTATATAAACCTATCATGTACCAGGTATGGAACCCTACATGTACCAGGTATGGAACCCTACATGTACCAGGTATGTAACAATGCAAGTATTGGCTCAATCTCCTTTTAGTACTCTGCAAGTATTAGGTAACCGTATGTACCAGGTAACTCTGCAAGCACCAGATACATCTCCTTTTAGTACCCTGTAAGTCCCAGGTTTTTAAGTACCAGGTATGTAACTAAGCAAGTACTGAATGCATTTCCTTTTAGTACCCTGTAAATACCAGGTATAGAAGTATCTGGTATAAATACTGGTACGTATCGTATCAGGTAGTATTACAACCAGATTATTCTTTCAGTTACTGACCTGCAGTTCGGCGGTTGGGTCTTTTTCTTGTAATTTCTAAAAATAAAAATGAAAAACAAGAGGTCAGAGGTCAACCCATTTGAGAAGTTACCCTCCAGTTCTGCAGCTCATCTGAGGAAGATGATGTTCTTGTACTCACTGGGAGTCTCCCTCTCCTCCTCCTCTTCATCGTTTTCGTTGGACTTGTTCGGAGCCGTTTCAGGAGGGACAGGGACCTCCTTCCCTGCAGGGCTGGCGCCGGGGCTCAGGGCCTGCTGCTCGTTCTTTTGGTTCTCCAGAACCCGAGTGAAGTGCTGCACGGCAAACTCAGCCAAGTTAGGAGGCCTGTGACGAAGCACCTCCACCGTGTACCCCTGCAGCAGCTCCTTCAGGCCCGCTGGGATCTCAGCAGTACTCATCACTTCTGAAAACTTCCAGGATAATTTCCCAGAGAGAAGTTTGTGAAGCAGAAAACYTTGCAGCGCTGAGTGGAGCTCAGACTGATCCACCAGAGGACTGAATGACTCTCCTCTCCATCTCTGTGCTGCATTGATTGCTTTATTTAGCACAGTCTGTCGGAAAATATTGACCCGAACTGTTCACATCATGTGTAATTAAAYGCTGTCCACTGGATTAAAGCTCACAACTCCACGATTTAAAGAGAAAAAAAAAATCAACGTAGATCACTTTTAGACGTCTGGTGTTGCACAGTTTGAGTTAGAAATTAAAAATATACAAAAGACAAAACTAGATAGGTAAAATAATTTTATATCTACTTGTTTTGGGATATTTTCCACTGCAGATAAGTTTCTATTAAACAGAAAAGGTTGCTTTAATTGTAAAACTCCTTCATAACGTTCATATAGCTGTTCAAGAATTCGATTTCATTATAAACAAGATGCATTATTTTTGTTATTCGCCTTTAATCTCATTAACAGACATGAGGTTTTCTGTTTCAGGCAGCACATTGCAGCTACAGCATATCAGCTCATTTCATACATGCGGGTGAAAGTACCAGGGTAAAGCAGAAAATAAAAATATTTGGAATATGATTTTTCTGCCATTAAAATAAATTGTGAATTCTTCCTGAAAAGGCAGAGCAGTACAATGTCTTTCCAGAGCTCTGCAGGAAAGGAAAACACTAAACATGATGAAAACCTGCGAGCATCTGGTGTGAATTATTACATGTGGCAAACAAAGATGARGTGAATTAATACAAGAAACTGCAACAAAAACAAAGCAGTTTTTGTAGAAATACCGTGAATGAGACGAGGATGAGCTAAAAAAATTTTTGTTTATTTTTATTACAAGAAAAAGTAATTATCACATTAAATGAACCCTGATTTGAATAAAACATTAGTAAATTATAGTGTAAAATGTGAGATTTTATGTTTCTTAACATATTTATTTCACCATCATGTCTCTGATTGTGCACAACACAAATTACTGTTAAAATGCAGATGTTATAAATTTAAAACCATCTGCAAATTTAAATCCTAATCAAATTATTTGATGACTCTTCCTGTCTCGTTAAGAATATGCGTTGTAYATTTCATTAAATGTGTTATTTAAGCTCTTACACGTGATTCTGTCTCATTTGTCTATTGTTTAAATCTAAGAGAAAGTAATTCCCAAGGCTACTGAAGGTGAAATATTTGAAAACACCAAGAAGAGAAAGCAACTTAGAAGATGAAAATTAAAACCAATTCTTTTTTTCTTTATGCTGTTTTGTTTTTTTCATCAAAAAAAATCTACCCCCACAGTTAAAGCTTTTTTCACTGGATGCAAAAAAAAAGCAAAGTTTCAACACAAAGTAAAGATGGACCTGTTGTTTTATCATTTCTTTATATGATGATCATTAAAATTAAGTTCATAGTTTCACATGACACAGACGAGGTGTAAATGACACACACACCTAATCGCAGTTAGGTTAAGGCACGACATGATCCCTTCACTCCTTTAAAAAACAAACAATGAAACCAAAAATGAACAAAATAAAAGAGAAGGAGTGAGGACATCGGGCTGACTGTGTGTGAACTGGCATCATTACAGAATCACCTCAGAAGGTCTGAATCCTCCTACAGTTTCCCCGACAAATAATCAAGTACATCGTTAGAACTATTAAAACTCTTCATTTCATGTGATTCTCTCTGTGTGTGTGTGTGTGTGTGTGTACGCGCAAGAGTGTGTATTCTGAGGTGGGGTTCCCAGAAACGAGGTGTGTCTGAGGCTTCGTCACAGGTTCGGAGCTAACCAGTTCAGAAACTTCATGGCCAGCTCAAATCCTAAGAAACAAGCCTGAAAACAACAAAAAGAGGAAAAAAATGTGTTTAGAGCAGAGATTTGGAAAAGTCCAACATCAACAGATTCTTAATAATCTTTAAAGGTTTGCAGGATAAGTGGAATTTTAATGTTTTTGACCATCTTTTTTTTTTTTAACCTTTAGCCATTTGTCCTGCGGTCTCAGGATGGCTGTGTGCTCTAAGGCAGGTTGTTCCAGATCTTTCCATTAGTTTATTCTGTATTTCCTGGGTGTTATAGTTTATTGGTAAAATTGTTGATGTTAAAAAAAACATTTCCTGAATTTTAAACAGGATTTTGGCAAATAATTTGAACAATTCAATGATTACTTGTAAATATTAAATGCAATCAAATTAAACTGAACTGAATTGGAATAAAGATCAAATTAAACAGAAACGGATTTAAAGTTAATTGAACTATTTTAAATTGGACTTAAATGTAACTTGTTTATTTTGTCATTAGATTTATAAACTAAAACAACCTTTTTTTTGTTTTAAACTGGTAATTTCTTCTTTATTGTTTTTTCTGCCCCCTGCTGGTTGTTTTTGCCAGCTGCAGTTTCCAGCTGATGCTGCTCAACATCTGAAGCAGTTTGGTGACAGTTTCCAGTCTAAGCTGGGACTGATTTTTCTGCAGTAAATGGCAACAAAGTGGAAATAAACAGGAATGAAAGTTAGGTGTAGTGAAACGGTCCTAAACAGATGTATATTGTAAATATTTTCTTTATAAAGTGTCTTTTTCCACTCTTAAAGCTGCAGCTCATTTCTTTGCTACAGTGAGGAACAGACCAAACTTACTGATAAGTTGTTCTCTCAGATTTGAAACTTTCTGCTAAGTCATAAACTCTGTGTTTAGTTTTGTGATTCCTGGAGACTCAGGCGGATCTCTTTACTGCAGAGCCGTCTGCATCCTTTGTGCAAAAGGTATTAAATGTCAACTTGATACTTTTGTTATTCTAATACTGCAGATATGCAAACACACATTCAGGTTTTCCACAGTGTTTCTAAGCTGAAGAACGAGTGACCAGAGTTATAAAAGTAACCAAGTACAAATACTTTGTTGCTGTTCTTAAAGGCACAGTGTGTAGGATTTGTTGTTTTCAGCGACATCTAGTGGTTGAGTGGTTGAATCATCCTCCCTGGTCCTCCCCCCACCTCCACCCCCCTTCCAAATGCAAAGGAGTTTCTACGGTGTCTCTCAGGTGTCAAAAACCTTTGATAATTCCAACCGCGATGTCTACCAGCAGCTTCAGGGCTAGTGATGTTTCAAGTGGTAAGATTATGAGCTTTAATAAGTAAAATTATCCCAGTTATAATGACAGACAACAAATATTACATTTATAGTATTACAACTAAAACCGTTTCTGACGCCGCCACCGCAGTTTGTCCTTCATGAGCCTTCGTAGACAAGATGGCAGCTGCCTGTAGTGGCGACCCGCGACCATGGAGATATAAACAGCTTTTTATAAGGTAAAAATAATAAAACAAGGTCTTTGTCTGCAATGATTAGACATGTTTATTATTGTCATTAGTGATTATCTCAATTTCGGCTAAAATACTACACACTGTGCCTTTAAGTAGAAATTTCGGTTATCTGTACTTGAGTAATTATTTTTCAGTGTARTTTTTACTTTTACTCATTACATTTTTACACAATTATATGTACTTTCTACTCCTTACATTCTTTAAAAAGGTAAGAAGTAGAAAGTAGTTACTCCTATTTTATTCCGCGTTATTATTTTAAAAAATACTATTCTAATAAATTGTGTCTCTTGGATATAGTGTATTAAATTGTGGTTGAATGAGAAGTATGAATATATACTACTCTGAAATCGTATTACTTTGTACACAGTCCATCACGCTGTTAGAAAATTAGTTTTTTGGAGAAGTCACCTCCCAATTAATGTCATTTTGGAAAATCTAACTGCTCACTTTTACTCAATACTTTTACTTTTAATACTTAAGTACAAAACAAAATCAGATACTTTACGACTTTTACTCAAGTAATATTTTTAAAGAACACATTAATTTTTACCAAAGTATTTTTATAATAAGATACTTGTACTTTTACTCAAGTATCACTTTGAGGTACTTTATCCAACACTGCGAGTGACTCACAGCGTTTGCAGGGAAAGCTCGGAGCATGACGGCGTTGAAGCCTTTATACAGAGAGGAGACCCCCTCCTCCCGGATCAGCTCCCGCAGAACGTCTCGGAAACCGTTGGGATACTTTCCTTCAGGAGCTGAGAGGAGGACAGAGATTTTCTTAGATTATCTTACCTGTCTGTACAGGCAGAACATGAAGACAACCTTTCAATAAACACAGAAGCTTATTTAGCTCCTCTGGATCGCTGCGTCAAACAAAAAGGTTTCTCTTTAGTGTAAAACAAGCTCCACAGACGATCACAGCCTCCCAGGATGATGATTAAATAAAGAACAAATCTTAAAGCCACGTCGTCATTTTTCACGCAAACAAACCTGTTTGGAAGCGAGACTTGAGCACGTCTGGTGGAATGGCGACAGCCCAGTTGCAGATCCCAGCGATTCCTCCGGCCAGCAGCACGCTGGGAACACTCAGCTCGTTGGGGCTGCAGGAAGAAGACGACACATCCAGCTGCTCACACGACTTTTTGTTTTAATCGCCGAAGGAGAACGGGTGTTTTGGTCTGTGTCTGTACTTGTTTGTTTAGCAGTGTTAGCAGTGTTTCAAGAAAAGCTAAACTAATGCACGCACCATAAGAGGAGATAAACTGAGAGGCAGAACAAATACCCACCTCTTCCCTGCTGGTGTGAGGACGTTCTTCAGCCACTCATAAGACATGAAATACATGCCACTGGCTGGAACATCTGGAAAAAAAGAAAGAAACATTTGTAGCTTTTTAATTTTTTTCTGAAAACTTTATTCATTTTTTAAAATAAGAAAATAAATTTATATACAATAAAAATACAAATCAAACAAAATGAAAGGCAGCAGAAAGAAGAAAAAAATCTTATATTATCTGCGCCTTTTTCCTCCCAAAATTAGTATTTTTAAACAATAATAATCTATAAACCAGAAAAACTAAACAAAAACAACCTCAAATCTCGAATAACTATTAGTATGAATACACATTATATTGTTTCATATTAGTTCATTAAGCTTCAACATCAAAAGGAAAAAAAACAGAATGGTTCAGTGTTTTTATGTGTGATTTTTTTTTATTACAAAACAATGAAAGAGTAATGTTTTTCCTAGTGTACTTGTGTCTGTTGGCAAAATATCTGATAAACCATTGAATTGATTTTAATGAGACTCTCCCCAAAAAGTCAACGAATGTTCAACTGAGCAGGTTTTTGGAGCCAGAAGGCCACCATGACTAATCAGCAACATTTAAACACAAAAATTATTTTAACTAAGTCAGTTTGACCGATATTGAGCTAAAATGTAGTGTTCTAATAGCTGACAGTACTCTGAGTGCTAACAGGTGGGTCAYCRCTGTTTGTTAGTAAAATATGGCAAAATGTTGATTAAAAAAACTGCTTTTAGTTTAAAACTCTGGCATGAAACGTGGTGAGTGTTGTGTGAATTCCTCTTTCTAAAAACACCCGGGAGAACGAACAGACACAAAAAACAAAAGACTAAAAGCTGTGAAGTAAATCAACTATCGGACTAATTATTGATTTACCAGCTGGAAGCCTGGCGTCTTCTATACCTCCTGTGAGAGTTCCAAAGGTCCACAGTAAAGTGGACTCTGTGGGCCGGTCCACCTCCGGTTACATGACCCACGTCTGCAGCACCGACTGACTTCACAGCAGTGGGCAGAAACGTTTCTGCCTGCGTGTGTTCGTTTATCTGTCTGTCTGTTCGTTAAGGCCCGACTCCAGCAGCCACAGCTGAGCAACATTAGCAAACACAACAATGAGGAAACTCATTAATATTTGGTGCGGCAACAGCTGAGACGAGTTCAGCCTCTTTTAGCACAAAGCTGGGCTCAAACTGATGTTTTTAGCTCAACGTGCTTTGTTTTACAACCCCTGTGGGTTTTTTTTTCTCTTATTAATAAAGAGAGKTGGTTTTGTCTGTTAGGAGATAAGCATAGAGACGTTTTAGGACCGCACCCACTGGAGAGGACACTCCTATAAGTGTGATGTCTGCAACCAAACTAAGAATTCCCCTGAAAACCCAAACCGTGAGTGTTGACGTGAAAAGAAGAAAAAAAAAAAAAACGCCACACAATTTGACGAATAAATAAATAAAATACAAATTTTCAGAGTAAAGACGTACCTCTCATGAGAGTAAGAGCTGTGCCTTTGTAGATGCCTCTGATTCCAGCTTCTCTGTACAGCTGTTTGACACAGTCCATTGGTCCTGCATACTTCACCTCTCCTGTCGATGCCTGGATCTAAAAAACACACAAAAAATAATATTTAAATAAGACACAAGACTAGATTTTAATCTGAAAGAACATCCGTCGGATGTACGAATGATTGGATATTTGTGTTTACGTCCTGCTCACGCCCACACACTGAACACCCTCTGACCTGTAGGAGACATTTGATGCGCTCTCCTGGAGCCATGATGGCTGTGGTGAAAATCCCCGACAGCATCCCCGCAGCAAACAGCTGTGGGTACCTGCAGGAGACCAGAAGAAGCTGACGTGGACGTTCGCAGCCTAAAGGCGTCTATCAGCAGAGCAACACCTTCACGGATCAATCACCTACGTGAGGATATCGTCTGGAGATTTCTGCTGGAGCTTCTTGCCCAGTCCGAATCCAAAGAAACATATGGCGAACATGGGCGTGACTCCGATTATGGGAGCTGCCATTCCCTTATAGAGTCCTCTCACACCCTGAGGCAGAGCGAGAGCAGGAGAAAACATCGGTGTGAAGACAAAAAAAAAAAAAAGACTACAAAAAAGTGTTTGATAGTAATAATCTGCCTTCTCACCTCTTTGGCTAAAGTCTTTTTAAAACAATCAATGGTTCCAGCATACAAGAGGCTCTCTCCAGGTTTGGGTTTGGGTTGAGTCTGTAAACGCACCTGAGAAGAAGAAAAAAAATCAATATGAGATGAGGTTTTGTTTTGAAAAGCAGGATGTCGTTCGTGAATGTAAATGTTTTTCAACTGATTTATGAACAAAATAAAAACATAAAAATGACTGAACAGCAGCTGATCATAAAATAAATGCGTAATATGTAGAAACATCCTGACATATGTACACATTTCTATGTTTCCTTTTAGCTACTTATTGCAGAGTTATGATCCTGGAATGAGGGTTAGGAGGAAAAAACTTCAGKAGCACACGGTCAGCTGATCCAGGTTGATCCACTAACCTGGCTGAGGTCTCAGTTTTTCTCTGTTGATCTAATCACTGAGGTCGTGCAGCTGAGGGGCCTTCAGATGAGGTTTGTTCCTGAGCAGCAGGACTGACTAGTCAGTGTGGGTCAAAAGTCTGCATGCAGCTGAGTGGGTCGAGTGACAATAAAACACTAATGCACATCTTTAAATATAGTTCAGTCTCCCTAATTTATTTAACTATTGCTTCAACGTTTTTATAATCTTTAAAAGTGGGTTTAACGACCTGATCAAAATCCCAAGAAAGTTTGTACCCTTTAAAGAAAAATAGGCAGAAATGAGTGATGACTCAAGACTTATGMATGGATGACAGTCACGGTGCACCCGGATGCTGTTCAGTTTGTTCACCATTCCCCCGTGAAGCTGTGACAAATCCAGACCCACAACAAGCAGGAATAATAATAATAATAATTACTTTAATGGTGTCCAGCGGGTGTCCGGCGAACACGAGACAAACACCTCCGAAACCTCCGGCGAAGAAGTTCTTCAGCGGGCTGATCGGCTGCGGCTGTTTGGCCATTTTTTTTACTTTCAGTCCTGACGGAAAAATAAAAGCATAAAAACAAAAACTCAGAAGAGAAACGCAGACTTTACAATAAAGCAAAAATGGATTTTTAACGCCTCACCTCTTTGTGCTTTCCGCAGAGAAATGAGTTTGTGACCGGCTGCTGTCACTGCAGTCCGCAGGACCTTTTACCCACTTTCTTTTTTTTTTTAATCCGGAAGTATCTGACTGCAACACAGTGCGTCTCTGTTTAACGTCCGGGTGGAAACCTTCATCTTTGAATGAATGAACTTGAACTTTTCCGAGATTATAAAACTAAAAATGTAAAAAAATAAAATAAAATAAAATCCGTAAAATCGAAAATAAACCAAAAAAAATACACGAAATTAAATTTGACAGAAAGTTTTGTTTCAGCTGACCAGGAGGTTAAAATAACAAAAACTTTGTTCTCAAATGAAGTTTTAAACTAAAACCGCACAATAAACTTTATCACTAAATCAACAAATACAGACGTGACAACTTCCTTTAATTGTTAAAATAAAGCTTTATTATTAATTTCACACATTTGGAGCATTTTTACAGATGATCCTGATAATGGAGCTGTTCATCAGTCACAGACAAACATGCACATAATGTCAATCTGTTAATGATATAAAATGTTAAGATTTAACTGTAGTTTWAAAAACTTCATGGTAAAGATCTCTTTAAGCATGCTAGAGATTAGCTCTGGAGTCATTTCTATTTATTTTATTCAACAACAATCAAACAAAAAAAAACTAAACTAAAAAAGACACAAACGACTAACAAAAATGTGAATGTTTTTTTTAAAGTACTTTTTTTAAAAACCACGACTATAATAAAAATAAATATAACTAATTACAAGTTTTTTAAAAAGATTTTACAGCTAATTATAGCACATAAATTGCTGTGGTGAACAGTAGTAATAATATTCTGTCAGGCTCAGTCTCTGGACATTTCTTGTACTGCTAGATCTCTATGCTGAATTCAATCACAARATTCTATTTCAGAGGCTTAAACTTGATATTAGGATCACAGGAACAGCTCTAATTAGATCAAATCTCATATGTCTGATAGTTATTAATTAGTCTATGCTGGACTAAAAGCACGGCCACATAATCTAAGGTTTCTTCAGGTTATACACAAAACAACAGCAGACATGATGACTTTCTTTCATTGTTAAAATATAGCTTTATTAGTATCATTAGACAGTCGCAGCATTTTTGCAGATGATGCTGATAGTGATGATGTTCTCTGATCACACWGACACAACGTAAAGAGAAAAGACACAAAACAAATTGTGGTACCTTTTCAGAACCGTGACAGGCATTTAAATAAAAAAAACTTCAGAAGGGACCAAATGTAAAAACAACAAAATATGAGATGCAGAACCAACGCCGTTTACAACATCAATGGGGAAAAAGAAGGGAAGGAACAGCAAAAGCACTGGCAGACAGCATGAATGCCTTGTAATTTATTCTCATTTCTTTTGTTTTTCAGCAGGAACAAGATTTCAACTGAACAACGTGTCATTTGAAACATGCATTGCAAAAAAAAGCATTTTATATTTGGCACAAAAGCCACTGTCGTACAGCAACAATGCAGCAGAGTTAGTTTTAATCTGAAACGTGTAATTTCTTAAGAGGTTCTGCATAAAACAAGAAACAGAGCAGTTATTTTTAAGGTGACAGGAAACAGTTATTTTAAAGGTGACAGCAAAGCTAAACGAGTCAGCCTGAGATACAGCAAGAGCAGCAACAACTTCAGCTCAGTCAGGATAAATTAAGAGTTTCACTTTCACAAAATAGAAACAAACTTGCTGCTCTGCTGAACGTGAAATTAAGCAAATGAGATGAATGAAACAGGAAGTCAGTTTTAGGATCGTGGTAACCATTTATGAAAATAATACCCTCAGTAACACACAGTAGTTTGGTTCCACTACAAGGGAAGCACAGAAAGACTTCAAATATTAACTCAGAGTTGAAAATAACGACAGTGTTTCGTCTCGTACACATCTGCCTCTGTGTTTCAGATTGTTGCAATTAGTCTAAAAATGTTTTGGTTTCAGTTAGTTTGGTTAGATTTTGCTGTGGTTTCAATAACTTTTACTTGAAAGACTCTTTAAGCATTTAGTTCATGTTTGATTCATGTGGGTAATACTGCTAAAAACTTCATTATAATAAATGTCTTAAGGTTTTGGCTTTAATTCAAACTAAACTTAGCACAAAAAGTAAGTAAATTTATGTTTGTAGGATTATTTCTTTGCTGTAAAAATGCTTCTTGGCAGTAAATCTTATACCATTTTGAAAGTCTGTTAATTTCTTTTTTAAATGGTGCCACATTTGTAAGGAACATGCATCTGTGGGATGAACAGTGGAGCTGAGTACTGTATGTGGGCTGAGCTTATTTCAGATAATTTCTTTGRTGCTATTGACACTTGTTTTGAGCTGCTGGTGGCCCCGGGTGCTGCCAATCAGTGTAAGATTTATTGCCAAGTTTTATTTCTAACTTCAAAAAATAAAGAAACTTGRCAGCGTTTTGTGTGATTGTTCTTTTTTTTTTTCTTTCCTGAACAAACAAAAACCAGAGTTTCTCTCAGTCGAAGCATCAAATGAACTGTTATTATCTGAGCTGGTGCAAAAAAAAGAAACAGGTCTTCCTCAAACATCAGTTCTTCCTCTTTTCAGACTTTGCTGTACCTCCCATACAGCAGACAGGATCAGACTACAGTGTGTGTGTGTGTGTGTGTGTGTGTGTGTGTGTGTGGTGTGTGGAAATGAGACTGCAGTGTCTGTGATTACTGCAGACTCTTTCATGCATTTACATCGACTTTTCTGATTGACCATTATTTCCAAAATC